GAAGCCTCTCCAGGGAAGCGATATTTGGACAGAGGCTGGGAGGAAGCAAAGGAGCAAAGGAGAACCAGAGGGGTGCGTCCGAGCAGAGGAGGAGTGGGTGCAAGGGCCAGAGGTCAGAAAGCAAGCAGGCCATGCAGCAGCCAGGCCACAGGAGTGGGATGAGCTGGGGAAGGGTGGTCATTTCAGGCGCTGATGGTGAGGAACCTGGTATTGTTTTCTCAGTTTGATTCTCAAACACTTTTAAGCAGGAGGTGACAGGATATGATGGAAATTTTAATAGATACTCAATACATGCTTAGTGAATTAAAACAGACCGCCCTTCAAGCTCCAATTTAGGGCTTCCCAAAAGGATGCTGGGGATCTTCAAGAGACAGAATGACTGCGGTCACCTGAGCAGACTCCAGAGAGGGCCTGCCGGGCCACTCCTGATTCTGCCTCCCTGCTCATGAGCATGGGTGGGTGGGAGAGGGACCTCACCTCTCTGAGCGCTACCTGCAAGGGGAGGTAATAACTGCAGCCACCTCCCCGCTGTGGGCCTCTCCGGGTATGGCTTTCCTCTCTGCCTACCTGATGCCCTGACCCTCTCCCTCCGAGGGAGCCCTCAAAGACAGGGGTCTCGGGGACAGGCCCACGCCAGCCGGGGCCCTGCTCCTGGCTTCTGCATCCTCCTCTGCAAAGAGGTGAGGCAGCCTGTGGGCTTCTGTGCTTGTCTTTATTTTACAGACAGGGAAACTGAAGCTGAGAGAGGTGAACTTGCCCCCAGGACATCTGGGGCCCTGGACCCTCCTCCTTTCCACATCTGCCCTGAGGATCATTGATTGCTTGGGTGAAATAAGGTCGGTCATTAACGCGGAGCATGTACTGCACCTCATAGGTGCTTGTTAAATACTGGCTCTTGCTGTGAGCCCTGATTTACTCACCAAGGTCTCACACTTGCTAAGTGGCACAGTCAAAGCCAGGTCTGTGCATCTAGAGCGCTGGTCCCACAGCCAAAGAGGCCCCACCGCGGCAGTGACCGGGGTGGCAGCTGCTTCCCGGCGCGGGTGGTGGCGGGACTAGGTGAGACTGCAGCCTGCAGCTCGGGCTGGGACAGGTAGGCCGGGCCTGGAAGGCATTACACGGCTGTCGGCCGGCGCGGCGGGTTCCGGAGGGGTCCCGGACGGCCTGCCACAAAGCACGCTTTGTTCTGCGCGGCCCGAGCTGGAACCAATGGATTGGCGGCAGCCAGGGTCATCTGTCAGGCGGCGCGGGGTCAGGCCGGGAAGGGGCCGGGCAGGAGCCGGCCGGGGCGCCGCAGGGTGACGCTACACAGCTTCCGGCCTCAGTTTACCCGGCTGTCCAAAGGGGAAGATCATGCACGTCCCGTCGGCCTAGGAACTCTTGTGAGACTTCAGCAAGGAAGCCAAACTGCGGAAGATGAAGATAGGCTCCCCTAAGAGTGTTCTCGAGGGGCCGGGTCGGCTGGGTGACTGAGGGCTTCTGCGCCTGCAGCAGTGGGTTCCCCGGGCCGAGGCGTTCTCACGGCACCCTCGCACCCCCGCGCATCACGGCCCCCCTTTGCTGTGATCTGGATGCCAGGCGTGGCCTCCGCTCTGGCGCTGGCGGATGGAGCTGTCCAATCCCAGCATGGGGTCCCCTGTGGTGCCCTCTGGCCCCCAGCAAGCAGGGCTGGGCCACCCAGAGGTGTTTTAATGTTTGGACGCAGGTCAGGGTCCTACCCTCCTCCGTACAAAATCAGAGCCCTTGCATCCACAGGCCCCAGCTGCACGTGCCTCAGTGTTGCCTCCTGGGACAATTAGGCTTCTGAGCATTTGATAAAGGGCCCCCTGGAGGAGGCTGTTAGGTACAGGGAGCCCCGGAAATGGCCCAAAATATACATGTTCTGGGGGAAGGGCTCACAGCTTTCTTTGGTTCTCAGCCACTTTCATGATGCAGGAACAGTTAAAGAGCACTGTGGAGTGCAGGGGCAGACGGGGCCCCCACTCCAATTGGGGCAGCACTCAGAACAGCTGCTCTGGAGGGCAGCCGGCGGTCTGGAGAAGTGGGGGTGGCTGTCCTACCCAGCCTGCAGGCGGCAGAGCAGGGCAGTGGCTGCTGCAACCCTCAGAGCCACGGCTAGGAACTGGCTAAAAATGGCTATGGCCGAGCGGTGGACACCACAGTAAGGAAAAAGAAGGCCTGATGACAGCGAACATACTCACGCACCAGCCGCAGTGATGAGCAGGGCAGGCTGTGTCCAGCCCAGGACTGACATTCTAGTTGGTGAGGCAGACGCAGACAATAATTTCAGAGAATGAAAAATGCCTCGAAGAAAAGGAAACCAGGAAAGGGGAATGACGGTGAAGGAAAGGCCCTCTGAAGAAGTTCCTCTGACCAGAGATCAGAATTCGGGGACTTGTGCTAAGAGGGCAGAAAACTGCAAAATAACATAAGATACAGAAGCGTTTTGCTGGGTATGGTGGCGCATACCCGTGACTCTAGCAGTCTCGGCGGCTGAGGCCGGTAAATCCCAAGTTTGAGCCCGGCCTAGCGAGACCCTGTGTCAAAAAAAGGCGGGGTGGCTGGAGATAGAGCTCAGGGTGTAGACCCTGGGTTCATCCCCCAGTCAAACAAACAAAGCAAAACAAAAAAACTGTTATTCACACACACACAAAGTCAGACGTGTCTGGAAGGGCATGTGCCAAATTCATGAAGGTTTCCGTCCCCAAAGGACAAAGGGACAGTGAGGACCAGGACCTATGGTGGGCTTCAGCTTGTCTTTAGTGTTTTAAAAATATTTATTTAACATTTTAATATCATACTTAATGTGGCTAAATACACTCATGTAGCATTATGAGATTAAGAACAAATTCGAATCTGCCATGGCAAAGGGGGTTAGTGCACAGGGCAGCACGGGGCTCACGGGACCCACCGTCCGGGCAGAGATCTGTGGGGGAGGGGATACATGGGGACCCGCAGGCACAAGGCCCACCCTGGATGGGCCTAGGAGCTGGCAGGGGGCACCGGGGCAGGGAAGGGGTCTGGAGAGGGCACGATGCGTGCCAGTCCACAGAGCAAGAGCAGATGGGACAAGCGGACCTGACACTCCAGACTGCCATCGGGGTCTGCTTCCCAGGCCGCGCTCGGCTTCTGTGGGCAGTGGTCGGCCCTCACTCCGCTAGCCAGGCCTTTCTTGCTGCAGCTGTGCAGCTCGGGCTCAGCCCCGCTCTGGGGGTAGGAAGGCAGCGCCACCTCCTGGTGGAGAAGGGGAAAACTCCTAGCAGGCAACACCCTTCAAAGACCAGCTTCTCTTCTCTCATGACCTCTTCCCACTGCCCTTTCTGTTAGATGCCTCCCTCCCAGTGCCCGCCTTTTGGGTCTTGCCTGAAAGGAGGAAAAGCCCTTACATACCGGGTGACCAACCACACCCCAGACCAGTGAGCACGGGTGCGGGAGAGCTGAGACAGTACACCTTGCACCAGTGTTGACAAAGCATGTCCTCTTTCTCCCCTCACCCTCGCTACAAACTTTCGGGTAGACGGCCCGCTTAGCAGCCTGGACAAGTCCTCCAGGGAAGGGAAGCCCTGCTCAAAGTCACCAGCAAGCGAGCTCACAGGCCGGCTCCAGGGGCTGGCCGTGAGGGGAGGCGTCACCGTGGTTTCACACTTGAAGTAACTGATGCAGAACAAACTGATGCAGTTCTGGGTTGTGGCCCCTGAACAACCCTCAGCTTGACCCGAGAGTGTGCTAGACACACACATTCCCAGGCCCTGCCCAGCCCTGCTGAGTCGAGTCAGAGGGTGGAGCCCAGCAAGACAGCCAGAGAACCTGAACTGGTGGTCTAAGCACCTGCACTCATTTTTTTTTTTTAAATTAAGTAAGCCTTTATTTGGAATGACTTTAGATTCACAGAAAATTTGCAGATAGTAGAGTTCCCATCCACTCTCCACCTGGCCCCTCCCCTCCCCCATAGCTTACAAATCACCTTCTTACATCACCATAATATACTGGTCAAAACCAACAGACCAACACCAGTGTAAAATTTTAACTAAAATCCAGAACAGTTGTTCTACTGTCCGGTTTTCTTCCCCCCAAGACCCAATGCAAGGTATTTGCACTTAAAGACACATACTGTATCCCTTTTCAGTCCTACTCCAAATGGGTAGAAAAGCCGTTGTCCTTTCGAAAACTGATTTTCGAAAATGCTGAGTGACTGAGTTCCCAGGGGCAGTGATCCCAGGCTTACCTCACTCTGCAACCTTCTCCAAGACTCTTGGTGGCTAGAAGCCCCTCTGGAACATCCCCTTGCCACCCCATCACACCAGTGTGGGCAGTGATGCCCCTGTTGGACCCCCCCATCTCCTCCTCGCTGGACCCAGGGTCTGTCTCAGGGACTTACACTGTGTGTGGTGGGATATGTTACCCAGGTAGACCTACTCATGAAGGACACACAGTAAGTCTGGGTGTCAACCTTGCCCCAAGTTCTCTGTACCTCCTTCTGTCTAGAGGTGTATCCTTGTGAATCTGGCAAAATCTTACAATTTGCCCTGATCAAAAGAATTCATTTTTAAATTTTTTTTGGTACTGGGAATCAAACTTATGACCGCATGCTGCCAGGCAGGCGCTGTGCCGATGAGCTATACTCCCAATCCTCCATAAGAAATTAGAAAGGAGATTGTCCCAGTTCCTAAAGTTTTTATCACTTCTACTCCGGGAAGCCTGAGGCCACTATGTAAATAAGCCTGAACTAGCTTAGTAGAGACACCGCATGGAAGAGAACCACGCCACCCAGCCAATAGCCTGGCACCTGCCAGACAAGCATATGAGGCTATTCTAACCCATCCAGGCTCAGCTGAGGTGACAGATGCCTGTGTCCCCATGGTGACGTCAGGCCAGGCCACAGAGCTACCCAGATCAGCCTGGCCCAAATTGCTAACTCAGAAACTATGGATAGGGCAGAAACTTCTAGTCGCTGAGTTTAGGGGTTGTTTGTTACACAGCAAAAGCTGATACACAATTGCTCTTCTTTTCTGGTGAGAAAAGTTTATTTCAAGAGGCAGAGTGCCAGTCCCAGGAGATGGCACAAGACTGGTGTGCTCAGCCATGGCAAATTCTGCTCCCTGCTATGTTAGCTTTCTTCAAAGCGAGGGCAATGGTACCTGGCTCAGGCCAAGGACAGCTAAGTGGAAATATACAGGGGACAGAGTAGGACAGATTACACTTTCTGATGGAAGTGACATGTCCAGCGGGCTGGCCCTTCCTCTTCCTCTACTCCTTTCTTCCTTGGACACATACATGATTCCTGGAGATACTGCAGCCATCTTATGACCATGAAGTAATAAGCAACGGTGGCAAAAGTATTTTAGAGACATAAACCCTATCTCTGTCGAGTTACTGAAGCAATAGCACTTTGGTTATTTGCCTCCAGAATTCAGCCTTTCTTTGCTGAAGTCCCTGTCACCTAGGCCTGTCTTTATCTGCAGCTGAGCAGTCCACTTAATAGGAAGCATAAAGACAACGAGAAGGTCCTTGTCCTGCGAATTTCCAGATCCATCTCCTCACTCAGGGATGAGGCCCTGACCTCACTCTCACAGAGGTGGGAACAGGGACTCTCACACTACTCAGCATGAATCCCAGGTCTGACAGCTAGTAAAGGGGGTGCTGAGAGTCAGACCCCACCCCCATGTGCAAAAAGGGGTGCCTCTGTTGGCCTTTCTGTGTGGCCCGCCTGCTGGGGGCCAGGTGTCTCTTCCTGGATGTGGCGACAGCAGATGGCATGGAAGCTGCTACTGCAGATTCGGTGTGGACGCGCCCAGGTACACTCGGAGGTCAGAGAGGGTGGACTGCACGAGCTTGGCGGGGATGGTCTCTCGCTGCAGCTGCTGGTAGGCTGCGTAGCGGTGGCAGCCACCGAAGGAGTAGTAGTAGTCACCACCCTGGGCCCCTTTGATCCAGAGGACGTCGATGGGCGGCACGCTGTCTGGGTCCTCCTGGAGAGAGGGAGGGGTGTTGCGTGAGTGAGCACAGTAGTTAAACGTCCAGGAATCCTGTGGGCTGGCTGGCGTCACCTTGGCTACCCGAATCTCAGGATGAGAGACATTTATAGCAGGGCAAGGGGCAGATGCCACAAGCAAGGATCTTCTCCCCCAACATACAGTCTGTGAAACACACACCTACACACGCTGTTCCGGGCCTAGCCTCTGCCTCCATGGGCTGCAGCTCAAGAGGGTGGGTGGGATGAGGGAGTAAACATCTGAGGGGCAACTGCTATGATGACAGTAACCCAACTGACAAGGGAAGAGTCCAAAGGCCTCTCTGAGATGACAGGGAAGCAGAGATCCATGTGGCAAGCTAGAGATGTGGTGCAGATTTAGAGCCCAGCTGCCTGGGTTCAAATCTTACTCTACTCACTAGCTATGTGACCTTGTGCAGTTAACCTCTGTGCTTCAGTTACCCCATCTGTCAAATGGGGATAAAGACAACAGACCCACATCATAGAGCCACTGGGATAAGTGAGTTAACGTGAGAAGCGCTTCCAGCAATGCTTGGTACAAGGAATGCTTTCAGTATTGTCTGCCTGTAGTTCCCAAGGGAAGAGCCTCCAGATAGATGGAACAGCCAATGCAAAGGCCCTGAGGTGAGAACAGCCCACCATGCTGGAGGGACAAGGAGGAGGCCAGTGAGACAGTAGAACTCAGGGTGGAGGAGTGGAAGAGGACAGAAAGGTCAGCAGAAGCCTGACACAGCAGGATTGTTTCTTAGAGCAGGGGAGCCACCTGCAGCGTCCAGCAGTTGGCCCAATTCAGTGCCATTATAGATGTGTCCAGAGAGCAGCGTGCAGGGTGGACAGGGGCAGGAGCCAGGCCTCTACATGTCTGCAGTAGAAGATGCAACCTGCACGCTGGTGTGGCTGGGACAGGGAAGGGCACACAGGTTTAGGAGGCAGATCAGAGGGCTCTGGTGGAAGGGGGAACCTGAGGTGACTTCCTTGAGGGGCTCCAGCAGCCAGGTGGAGGAGGGCTGTCCTCTAAGTAGGGAAAGGCTGGGCAGGCTGAGGAGACCCTACTAAATGTGCCATGCCTAGAAGGCCTCCTGCTGTTGGCCTAGGATCTCGAGGAAAGCTGCTCTGATAGGTTCATTAACCCAGATGTTGCACAGCTGGTTATTCAGCAGTAAGACCCAGCAGCCATCAGCCAGGACTCTCAAACCCAGCAAACCAGGGAAAGGGGCTCTCCGCAGCCAGCCTAGCCTCTCCAAACACTGCTGCTCATCCACCAAATGGGAACAAGCCCTCCCACAGGGCAGTGGAAGGGCAGTCGGTGAGCTGGTAGGCCTTCTGTGGTCCAGGGTGAGCGGCAGGATAGGTGGGGCAGGGGTAACGGCCCCCAAAGATGTCCATGTCCTAATCCTTAGAGGCTGTGAACGTGTCACCTTACACAGAAGGGGTTCTTCAGATGGATCTTGAGGTAGGGAGATAGGCTGAATGTTATCACCAGGGCCCTTAAAAGCAGAGCAGGGAAGTGAAAGAGGTCAGAGGTCACAGGGCAAGAAGGGTTAGTCTGAGGATGAAGAAGAGGTCATGAGCCAAGAGGTTGGTGCCAAGTGCTGGGAAAGGCTGGGACACTGTCCCTTAGGACCTCCAGAAAACAGCGCAGCCCTGCTGACCCTCTTTAGTTCAGGAGGACCCACTTCTGCTCCACAGACCATACAATGATACATTCATGCTGCCTAGAGCCATGAAGGTTTTTTTTGTTTGTTTTTTTGAGACAAGGTCTCACTATTTAGTTAAGGCTGGCCTTGAACTCACTATGGAGCTCAGGCTGGCCTTGAACTCACAGCAATCCTCCTGAGTGCTGGGATTACAGGTGTGCACCACCACGCCTGGCTTGAAGCCATGAAGTTTGTGGCCATACATATGGTTCCAGATGGTAAGTTAGCAAAGGGGATCTGGTCCTTGCCGCTCAGAGCCTAGGGTTCCAGCATGGGAGACAGGTGCCTACAAAGGCCCTCAGAACCCAGTGGGGTGACAGCTATGCTGTTGGGTACACAGGTGGCTTCGGGTACACTGGAGACCTCTTACCTGCTAGGGTGAGCAGGAGAGGCTGATTCTGAGAGAGGAAGACCAAGAGGGAATTAGACACCACAGAGAGATAAATAGTCTCCCACCTGGGGCTGGGGAGTCTGTGCAAAGGCCCAGTGGTGGGGAGCACATGGGGCTAGACGGTCCCCCTACAAAGAGCCGTAGCAGCAAGGGGACAAGGCCCCTGCTCACGCAGTGTCTATTAAAGACACTAAAGCAGTGAGACAGGCAAGTAAATGTAGGAAGGCTGCACGTGCTGTCCAGTAAAACACCTGGGCTGAGGGGAGCTGGAGGTCAGGGCTCAGGAGGTGGCAAGCGGAAATGGGGGCAGGGTAGCCTCTGGCGCCGAAAGACACCAGCTGGCTGCACAGGTGCTGGCCGGGCTTAGGCATCTCACACACTCACCTGCCAAGGGTCTGGAAGAAAGGACAGGAAACATGCAGGCCTACGCTGACACATAGTTCTTTTGTCCCTCACCCCCAGTTCTTGCCCGGGGTCACTTGGGCATTCTTAAGCACCCTCCCCCTGTGACCGGGCTGACCCTTGTTCTCTCCCATTTCCGGCCCAGACAAGGCCCTCCCGGCAGACAGGACACACTTAGGCGCCTGCCCCTGACGGTCACAGTGCTTACTTATCTCTGTATGGTATGGTGGCCGCGCTGCTGGGCACTGGGGCCATGTGTGTGCCTGACCTTGAGCAATTTGCCCAATCTTCCTGTGCCTCGGCTTCTTGTCCAGAAGAGGGGCAGCATCTGCCTCACTGGGCAGCACAAGAAGCTAAGGGACCTGAACGGCTCCCGGGTCCCTGTAGTTCAGTGATCCTACTTTAATTTTCTAGTCCTAGTCCTTCCTTGCTCCGGAGAGGGCCCCGGCCCACAGAGGCCACACACTTGCTCAAGGTCACACAGCCCCAGCCGCCTCCCCTGAGCCCGGAACCGTCCCGTCGGGCGTCCCGCGCCTCCCTCCCCGAAGCCCTCCCCCGAGCTGTCGTCCCCTGTCCTCACCCGGATTGCGTCCACCAGGCTCTGCACCTTGGCCCGGTCCAGCACCGACGGCAGCGGTCGGATGAGCACGCTCAGCGGCACGTTGTGCACGGCGGCGATGCAGCCCGAGTGGATGCTGCCGCCGGGAGCGCCGCCG